AGAACATTCAACTCTTCATAAACATGGCTCCCTTCTTGGTAATAATCTTTCCTGCATTTGTTCGACATCACCGAACTCTTCAAACTTCGAAATACACGCATTGAATTTCACTCATAAAAAAACATAACAATTCACACTTACCCTCTTGAAGTTTTGTCATGAGTCCACCAGTGACCAGTGTTGAAGATGATTATATCAGCTCCTTTGTATTGAACGGATGATTTCCCGACCAAATCGAGACGCAACGTTTCCTTCTTCTTACCGTTCTTGTCTGGCACCTCCCATTCTCGGACTAAGAAAGGAGACACAAAGAACTCTACGGTGAAGTTATAATCCTATCATCAAACCAAAGACGAAAAACAGCCACCAAATGAATAAACATCACCAAAACAGAGCTGAGCAATAGTTTGCAAAAGCAAATCCTTGAAAGAACAAGAAGAACACAAAACCAACCTTAAATATGAAAGAGTAGGCTGCTTCCCCTCTGAATACCTGTCTGCCATTAGCTTCAAACACCTTACTTTGATCTTTAACTGAGTTTCTCAATATACAAACAAGCGATTCCCACATGTTTCGATTCAGCGAATCGCCCACGAAAACTAGTCGCTTCCCTTTTAGCATATCCAACATTCGACCTCCATCGAGCCTACACCATAGCGTAATTATAAAGGTCTTATGGAACAAGAAACAGATTATTTGAAGTTCTTATGAGTACCATAGGCTACTACTTAACATTGAGCTACAAACCATCGTTTAACACAATTCAAATTTGATTAAACTAGATTAGAAATCTCAAAAGCACACAACATTGAGTGCATAGGCAGAAGAACAAAACCCAAAAGCATAAAACTCAAATGGTTGCTTTGAATTCATCAAATTCAGAACAAACATTGCCTTTTCTTTTTCTTTCTCGTCTTTTCCAAACATGTCATCAAAAAAAGAACGGTCCAAAGAGTAAAGGGGCAACAAGTTTCAGATTAAACAATTCAATTCAGTAAGAGTTACGCAAAACCTGAAAAGAAAAGGCCAAAAAAAGTTCAACCATTAACAAAAGTTGCAAAAACAAAATTGTTCATACCTTGGAAGATCGCATCCATTGGGCTTCCATCTAAGTTTCTGATAATTCTTATCAGGCCTGCCATTCAAATGACAATTGAATTGTTCATCAATAAGCGGACAAGAACCAGGTTTGTAAAGAGGGTAAGAATCATCCGGCACCCACTCTCCATCGAAAAAATCACAATTCTTCAAAGACTCAAACCAATCATTCTTGTTCATCGATCCACCAGAAGCAGAATTCATCTCACCCTTCTGCTTCTTCGACAATGAAGCTGTGTAATTCGATGATACATTTTTATCCTCCACCCTAGAACTGTCATTGCCCAACGGAGTCGATTTAATGCCCGAACCCTGAATCTGATCATCCACCACTGGAGGAGCTGCTTTCACAGGCACTGATTCAGTTCTATTAGACTCCGTACCTTTAGAAACCGGCGTAGATTGAGTGTCGTTCTTAACTGTTTCCGTCGGCGAGGTGGTTTCAATCGGAGGCGAAACTCGGGAATCCAGAGTCTGATTCCCAGCCGGTGGATTACTTTCCGGCACCAATTCTTCCGTACGGTTCTTCCCACGCAGCGGCTCTTTCTCGACAATCTGCGGCCGAGGCTGAACCGTCGCATTACTAGATATAGATAGATTCCCCTCCGGCACCGGCGGAGGGATCAGTCGATTACTCTGCTGAACAGAACCGTTAGGGAGAAAGTAAGAAATAAAATAAGGGTATCGAGATCCAGAACCGCCATTAGCGGAATTAGGACCAACAGAGTTACTCCCACTGAAAATACTGGATAAGGAAGGAGAAAAGGAAGTTGTAGCAGAAGGGTTGAAAGCCAAAAAGGCAGTGAAAACAACGAAGGCGAACATGAATCCATATGCAAACGCCAAAGTTCTCTTGGTTTTGAGAATGGAGAAGAGACTCTTGACGTCTGAAACCAGATTTCCGCCATTGATGGGCTGGTACTTAGTGGCTTCAGCCATGGCGGATCACAGAAACGAAAACACCCAGTTTCTGGTTTCTACGACTCGAAGACGAAGAAGATTCTTAGAGAGAGAAAGAGGGGAAGTGGGGTTTAAGAGTGAGATTGAAATCTGTGATTGGAAAAACGGTCTTTGAGTCGAGCGAGTGGAGGAGGAGGACGACGATTGTTTCATACGGATTTGAGAGAGGAAAATTAATTATCTTTTTCCCATAATCTGGCGTTTTATTACGATATTGCCACTACCGTCAAATTCGTTACGCCGTTGAGGAATATTTGTACGCGCCTCGGAAAACTTTATCTTCAGGACACGTGTCATCCCATTATATTTTTGGGAGTATAATAATTATATATATATATATATATATATATATATATTTTTTTTTTTTAATTTAAAACGATCCTAAAATGATCGATAATTCCAGATATTTCGATCCAGGAATCTCGGTTAATAATTTTTAATCTATTCGTGAATTGAGATTTAGAATAATTTCGAGTTTCTTTTTTTAAATAAATGTAATTATAATAACAGTGGCAAAAGCTGTAAATAATCCAAGGTTTATGTGTTTTTTTAAAAAGGCACTTGAAATTCGAGTAGAAGAATCCAAATTCCGTGCGCTTTTCCCGTTTCTTAACGGATCCCGTTTTGTGACACATTAATTAAACTCGCTTTACATTTGTCACTAACTTTCATGCTGCTTGCTTACTAAATAACTGTCTTACGAAGTATAATTTTATCAAATAATTAGTTAATTAATATTCACTCGGTTCGTATGATGCCACGCGTACGAACTAGATCTGGCTGTCGGTTTTGGAGTTGACGGTTGAGATGGATTTGGTTTCGCCCATCACTCCACCATGTCTACGTGTTGCCATTGGACGGTCACACGATGTGCGTGACAGTAGTGCAGTTGGTGCCAAGATTTGAAGTACCTACTAATTTCTATTTTGTGTTAATCAAACTTTAATTGATTATTTAAATATTTAATATAAATAATTTAATTAATTAATATTTTATTTATAAAAAGTTAAAAATATTAAAAATAGGATAGAGATGGTGAGCGGTGGTGGTGGGACCAGATGGGGTCCGTACGGAACACATGGAAATTAAGAGAAAGGGAAAGTAGTTTACGCGTTGGCCACCAAAAATGGTATTGTTAGATTTGGTGGCATTTATTGTGCTTTTGATCGTCGGTTCCTAGGCTTATGTGAATTTTCTCCTACTCTCTAATTTATATTTCTTTTTTAAAAAATATATAAATAGAGTTAACATATTACAATCTTACATTTTAAATTTGTTTATTTTTTAAAAAACAAAAATGAAAAAGATTCTAAGATCTACAAACAAATATCTAATTCTGGATATTATCAAATATATTTTTTTTAAAAAAATTATACATAAATATTTTTTAAACCAACTTCAGAGGATTCTATGGACATTTTAAAAACAAATTTGAATTTCGAGAGTAAAAATTAAAAAAAAAAAAAAAAAAAAAAAAA